AGAGCCACCGACGTGTGCTGGGCACAGTGGGCGGCTGAGGGGACAAGCAGCATCGGCATGGTCTGGGAGCCACTCTCTCATAGCGCCGAGCTACCGCAGAAATAGGTGGCCTCCCCGGGGAGAGCGGCGAATGCCAGGCACCGAGAGGTCGGGCTGACGTGACAGCACATGGCTCTGCGGCCCCGCCGAGACTGCAAAGCTCTCCTCACCCCGAGGACGCCCCAACCAAGCACAGCGCCGCAGCCCCAGAACGCCCGACAGCGACGCCGCGGCAGGGCCAGGGTGAAGCAGGGTCACGATCTGGGGACGAGGGCCAGCGTACGTGCTGGACTGAACCCTGGGGCAGGCAACGGCCACCTGACAGAGCGGGCGCTCCCGGCCGGGCCTGTGCTGCTGCCCGGCCAGGTCCTCGCTGGGTGATGGCCACGCTCTGGTCACCGACAGGGGCGCTGGGAAGCGGTGTGCGTGGTTTTCCCAGCTCTTCTGCAATCTACAATCATTTCCAAATACAAAGGCAAGAAAACCTCTATCCTCTGCCTAGACTCTGGGTGTCACCAAAGGGCTGGGATAGTTCCAGAACCTCACGCTCCGATCAGTGACCAGACGGAGGGCCTGCGGACATGCTGAGTGACACCAGCGGGAGGCGAAGGCTTGGCATGACAGCCCTGAGGGTCAGAGGCCCTCGAGGACCCACACCGAGTGAGGAAAGGCCCGGATGCAGGTGGAGGGTGAGGCAGGGGCCGAGGGGCAGGGGCAGGGCCGGGGCCACGTGCAGGCCGAAGGGTGCCCCGAAGGCCCAGCGGGAGCAGCTGCAGGAGCAGGTCGGCAGCCCTGGGGCTCTCTTCTCTCTGGGAGGAGCCACACTCTCAAAACCAGAGCCTCGGCTGGAGCTCAGGAAACGGACTTCCGGTCCACGGAGCCCCTGCCTGGCTGTCCTGGGGGGCTCTAGGGGCCGGGGCAGCCTCCTCTCAGCAAGCCAGGGGGAGTCACAGGGCCCTGCCCCCCACCGCTGCCACAGGAAACTTGGACTCGCAGCCAGGAGGCCACCGCAGGGAGAGCACGGAGGACACGGCCCCTCCCCAGGTCCCCGAGTCACCTGTGATCCGGTTGGAGATGCTGAAGAGCCGCGAGGTCCGCGGGCGCCGTGCCGGCTCGCCGTAGCGCCGGTCCCCACAGCACATGCCCAGCAGCTCCTTGCACACCGTCTTGTTCCACAGCCCGTAGATGAGGGGGTGGCAGATGGCGCTGCTGAAGGACAGCCAGGTGGCCCAGGTCTCCAGGGCCGGGGAGACGTAGTTCTTGCCCCAGAGGGCCTCGGCGGTGATGACCACCATGTAGGGGCCCCAGGTGACCGTGAAGGCGCCGATGACCACCAGGATGGTGATGAGGGCCTTGCACTGGTTGGCCGAGTACACCACCCCCTGGAGCGCGTGCCTCCTGCTGCCGGCCGAGGAGGTGGAGGTGCTCGAGTTCTTCCTGCCCGCCCGCCGGGCCTCCTCCTCCGGGATGACCACGGTGCCGCAGTGCACCTTGCGCGCCTTCACCCTGGCCACGCGGAAGATGAAGCCGTAGCACACCAGCATGACCAGGAAGGGGAGCAGCGCGCACCAGATCTGCCAGAAGGCCGTGTAGCCGGGCTCACGGTGCCAGGCCGCCACGCACATCCACTTGAACTCGTCGAACTCCACCGAGGACCAGCCGAACAGGGGCGGCAGGCAGCCCACCAGGGAGTGCAGCCAGATGTAGACCAGAGCCAGGAGGGCCCGGTTCCCGGTGATCTTCACGGGGTACAGCATCGGGTACAGGACAGCGTAGTAGCTAGGAAGGACGGAGGGCGTTACGGGGCGTGGTGGCCGTCCCACCTCCCAGCTGCAGTCCAGCCCAGCACAGGGGCGCCGTTCTGAGCTCTGAGTCATTGGTTTCAGGGATGTGGGGAGTCGTGGGGGGCCCACAGGAGTCCTGAGAGCTCTGCCCAGCACTCAGTCCCACTGCGCTGGCTGGCACCGACTCTCACGCC